AGAGAGCGAGAATGCGCGGCTGACGTTATTGCCTGTGCCGCTGGTAACAAAATGGATCGGCTCGAAATCGGAAAGAAGTGAGACTGACCGGCCGATGACCGATCCGGGCCGATCATGAGGAAAATCGGCCGATTCCGATCCCTGGCCGATCGATCGGTGCATCTCTAGTTTAATTATGACCATGTTGGTTAACTTGTGGTTTTAAAATTATGCATGGTAATATGTTTCAAGTAATTTAATATTATTGAATTTCATGTCCAATTTATTTTGGAATTCAAAGTATTACTACAGTACATACACTGTTTTATGACATTTCTTTCATGCAATTTTGAAAGTTATATATTAAATAAACTTTGCCCTGTTTAAGAAGTGTCAATTTTTTTGTTTTGTTAAATAACAGGTGAATTAATTTATGCATCATACAACACTTTATGCAGTTAAATGTTGTTTAAAGCTTATGCAGTTAATGAATAGTTTAAATTTAAAATTGACCTGCTAGTCATTAATATTCATTAATATTACAGCATACACACATTAAAGTAGTTTACTGTAAAAAAATAAAATAAAATAAATACCGCAATTTTGTTAAAAAATAGTCATTTACTGCAATCAGGAAATACAGGGAAATGCTGTAAGTTAAATTACAGCAACACTGCTGTAAATATTACAGTAACCGGCTGGCAACCCTGCTGCCAGTATTTTACTGTAAAATTTACAGGTAATTTTTTACAGTGTAGTGAGTGTACTAAAATTGCTCATTCAAATTCAAGACACCACAGCATGTATTGTTTACAAAGACAATCCTATAACGCAATGCAATGGTCACAAGTTCTGTCGTAACCAATATAACTTGCGAAACACAGTTGGCAACTGATGCTTTTGGGAAACACACCTCTATTCAGTTACCCCTGTAGGCAGTCTCATTTCATTCACGTCTCTGTTCTAAAAGACAGTAATCTAAATATTTAAAATGTGGCCTTGGCACTAAAAAAAACATTGCCATGAACTGCTAAGCAAGAGCATCCATGCATCAGTGCTGAGAATCACAAAACTGCTTTTGGCTATCGCAGGATATAACAGCTTCAGGGATGGGCTCAGCACATAAAGAGCACAGTGGAATGGGACAGAGAGTGCTTTTACATTTGTCAGTAATGTGCAGGTGTGTTAACACTGATGAAACCCATCAAAACTTATTGGTGATTTCAATCAGACTGACTGGAAAGTAAGCATGTACTACACAATATTTATTTTATTTTAATATGATTTCCCGTGCACTTACTAAATATTGTTAAATATAAACTGCAGTGTGTTATACCATCTTTAAATTAGTGCTGTCAAACGATTAATTGCAATTAATTGCATCCCTAATAAGTTTGTGTCTACATAAAATGTGTGTGCACTGTGTATATTTATTATGTACATAAATCCACACACATACATATATATATTTTAAAAGTATTTACATGTATATATAAATTTTTATTTATGTGTATAATTTATATTATAAATAATATAAATATTTTATTTTTCTTAATATATATAAATATATATATATATATGCATGTGTTTATACATAATAAATATACACAGTACACTACACACACATATATTATGTAAACAAACTTTTATTATGGATGCAATTAATCGTTTGACATCACTATTTAACACTATTTAATTTAACAAATGTGCTTTATATTAACCATTAGTCACCCTGCTAAAATATTGGCATCATCCATAAATAGACCACTAAAACTGACCCTAGTGTGCATCACTGCACTAAAACATTAATTTTAGTACATAAACATTAACATTTAATTCACCAATACAGATATGACTAGTGTGCCAAATAAATATTAAATAAGAATTTTGAGGAATTCCTGATCACGACTGACATGAGTGTTCAAGCACAATTCATATCCCTAAAGTGATTTACACTTCAAAGAAAATCTGATTTAAATAAACCTGTAATGACACATGCCATCAGTATGGAAGACTTCCAATAAGCCTCTAGCAGTCTGTCAGGATGCACTTGTTCGCTATGATCACGAGTAACAGAAAGTGTCACCTGTCTATAAATGTGTAAAAACAAACGATGAGTTGATTTGAAGTGCATTATCAGATGTTTTACTCGCGTGGAGAAACAGAACAAAGTTTCCCAGTGCGAGATGATCATTTAATCACTGTTATCGACGCGCTACAATCACTGCAAACCTGAGCGCATCTCTCGCAAAGTAGTCTTCGCATAGAGTGCCTCACCTAAGAGTGCTATAAACTTTTATGGTTTATTTCAACAAGGGAACGCCGCAGTTGCGTGCGTGCATGCATTTAGTAGTTGGTGCTCAGCTTCAACAGATGATCAACAGCCTCCACATAGACACTAACAGCTCCTTCTCCACACATCAACTCCAAAAACACCGCGTATGTGCAACGTTTCGCCCGCTCACCTGTACGTAGTTGCTTTCGCAGTATTCGGCGACTCTTTCAAGGTTGGTGAAGCTGTCCAGTAACGCTCTGCGACCCGCTGGGATTTCCTCCTCCAGCAGCATCTGAAGCTCCGCCATCTTTACATCCCTCCACGCGCAACCAGCGACAGGAAGTGCAGCGGCTTCACCTCCCGCGGAGTTTTGGGGAAAGCCAGGGAAGCGCGTTTACCAATAATATAATATAATTAATATAATATAATATAATATAATATAATATAATATAATATAATATAATATAAAATAAAATAATATTAGCATCTATTCCATACCATATTCTACATTTAAATGTGAAAATATACACTACTGGTTAAAGGTTTGCAATAATTCAGATTTTTTTTTGTTTGTTTTTGAAAGAAGTCTCTTTTGCTTACCAACACTCTTAAAAAATTAGGTTCCAAAAGGGTGTTTTCGTAATGATGCAATAAGAACCATTTTTGGTTAACTTTTCAGTGATCAGTTCTTAAAAGAACCATTTTTTCTTAGTGTGAACAACATTTAAATAGTATAAACAACTTTTTTTTCACTACGAAGAACCTTTTGTGGAACAGAAAGGTTCCATGATGGATGTTAAAGGTTCTTCGTGGAGCCATCAATGCCAATAAAGAACCTTTATTTTTAAGAGCGATACGGCTGCATTGATCAATAATATAATAATATCAGCAGTAGTGTGAAATATTATTACAATTTAAAATAACTGTTTTCTACTGTAAGATATTTTCAAATGTGAATTATTCCTGTGATGGCAAAGCTGACCATTACACCAGTCTTCAGTGTCACATGATTCTTCAGAAATCAATCTACTATGCTGATAATGTGCACAGTTATCAGTTATTATTAGTGCTCAGTTATTAATAGTTCTTATTATTATAAATGTTGAGAACAGTTTTTGCTGCTTAATATTTTCGTAGAAACTGTGATGAAAGTTCAGAAGAACAGAATCTAACTGAAATATAAATTTGGTCATTTTTGAACTAATAAAATAAATGTATAAAATCTTACCTCAAACTTTTGAATGGTAGTGTATCTTAGTTTCTATAAAAATATTCAGCTGCAGTTTTTTTTTTTTCAGAATTGAAAATAAGAAATGTTTCTTGAGTTTCTTAATGTTTTAAAATGTATATAAATATAAAATAGTTATTTTAAATTGTAATAATACCTCAATATGAGATATTAATATTGATCAAATAAATGCACCCTTGGTAAGCATAAGATAAGGCCTACTTCTTTCAAAAACATCAAAACATTTGACGAGTAGCATGTATGAATTAAAAGTTCCACAATATTTATATTTCTTTACTTTTTTTGGTTGATTTAACCAGTGATCTAAGCATTACAGTATATGATATAATAACAATGTTCGATGTTATTAATGAAAGTTAAGTGCTACCTTTATTAAGCTGAGCAGATAAAGCAGATAAACAAACCTTTATCACTATGTATCTCATTCCTCGTTTTTTTTTCCTGACAACAATAATGTATCTTTAATCAAAATGAATTATCACACATAATATACACTGAAAGAATGCATTACTCTTCATCTACTGAAAAGATGCACTTTTCTGTCTCACATTCCTTTGGAAATTGCGACCCCCTGTGTTGTCATAACGTTACAGTTACCGTCAGGAATTATTTCACTCCTTTAATCTCCAGTTGGAAACAACAGTATTAAAATTCAGTTTGTGCTATGACTTGTGTTTGTGTATGCATGCTCTTTAATGATGCGTTTAGTGGTAACGGGGTGTATTTGACATAAAACATCAAGTGATCGACAGGAGTGTCCTACATTTACTTCCATTTATTAATTTAGCACACACTTTTAGTAGCTTCTATCCAAAGCAACTTACAAACCTGCAGTATGTAATACAATACTTCTGGTAAAAGTATTTAAACAACATATTTCTAATTGTTGAATAACTATATTATAAATTCAGTTCTTATGAATCCATAAACATGAAAAATCTGTTGTAAAAAAAAAAAGTAAGAATTCAACACACCACACGACTATTTAAGTCGTACTTCTAAAATACACACTTAGAAGATCAACAAAAAAGGGAAACAGGAAATTTGACAAAAAAGTTTATTTATATTTTTACATAGTTATTATCTACAGTATATAACAAGGTCAACAATAAAGTAAAATCAAAACATTTAGCACAAAACAATGTTAATTTCTGATCATTGATAAATGTAAATCATCATGTATCAGTGTTTTAGGCTGCCAGCTCATGTTTCTCATCGTGACGTGGATACTCCTCCACCTCCATCGCCATTAAAAACTCTGACAGTAAAGATAGTACTTATGTTAGGATGTGGACTATAGAGGAATAAGATGATGTGACAATAGACACATGAAGAGGAAAAGACACACACACACACACACACACATTCTGTGTAGGTCTACTTACCTTCAGTGTAGTCCATGTCTGGTCGTGTAGCAACAAACACCCAGGCTAGACCAACCAGAAGAGCTACGACCAGGTTTACCACGATCCAGGGCTGTAGAATCTGATGTTCTGAACCCGGGGGCCTAAACAACAATCACTGCATGTGATTTAGTGAAGTATTCAACCTTGTGCTACAGATCAGTTTCACTTACAGAATGATATGGTGATTGTTGCAATAATGTTTTAAGGCTATTATGTTGAATTACATTATGCCTAGCTTGACAAACCCACCAAAGCGTTTCATTGGCTGTGGGGTAGAGATGTATACGATCACTGGTCATCTGCTGGCTCAGAGACAGGATGAGAGCAGCAAAGTATACTAGGACAAAAAACACAGAAGGTTTATATCCAAAAATATCTTTGTGTTGTCAGAGACAGTGTTATTTTTTTCTTGAGTTTTTGTAGTTTTTATTAATATTTTGCATGAGTTTTTTATATTTTTGTTTTAATTTTACTCTATGTTTAAGTAATTTTGTTGTGCATGCTTTTGTCATTATTAGCCATTTAAATGTCTATATAGTTAATTATAATAAGCCTGGTCAGAGGTAAGTGTTGTGTTGATAAAGTTTATTGATTTTCACTCACAGAAGGAAGCAAGAGCCGCTGGATCAAGAGTGAGAAATCCTCGAAGAGCCATGGATGCTTTGGCCAGATTCACCCTGATGTAAAGAGGGTACAGATAATTCACTCCGAACATTTATTTTGTCAAATGACATAAGCCACATTTTCAAACACTCAAATCAAAAAACTGTACAACAGATAGTTCTGCGAAATTCTCTTATCAGTTGTCTTGGGATTCAATCTTAGTGCAGATTTTCCCAAACTGGGTTTTGCAAACACATAGCGGTTCGCGAGCTGATGAAAACTTAATAAATAATTAAATCATGAAAATGTAAAATGAAAACAAATGACTTTAAAATAAAACTGATAAATAAAATATTTTCTTTAACTGCATGTCATGTGACCATTCACAGACATGCAAGAACCAGGTTAAGGCTAGAAGAGATAGAGCTGCAGCTACTGGGCTTGCGCTCATCAATATAGCGTAATTTTTGTCACACTGTACAACAATAATTACTGTTTTTGCATTATTGTAAGGGATAGGTTTAGGGTTGGGGTAGGTGTAGACATTAATAAAACAATTCTAATAGGTAGAACATTTAATTTATTGTTAGTTTCCAGCCGTAGCTGTATCCCTTCTAGCCACAACCCAAGAACCATGATCATGCAAAAATATTGTTAAAGTATTGAAATTTAAACTTAAAATCTCAATGTCAAAGGGGAACAGCTGACAAAAATGTATGGGGATCCCCGGTGAAAGCACTTATTTATTGAATTGGAATCAATATATTTGCTCATTAAAATACGATTTTAAATCGCTTGGAGTATGATTATGTATTGTTTATACTGTTGTTGCTTATATTGACACTTGTGTTCTTACTATGCGTCCACACACCTGTCAAAGGCAGACACGGTGCTGATGGCCAGCAGGAGGTAGAGCAGAGACTGGGCTGGGTAAGCCAGACTGTGGTACTGCTGGAGAAGGTTATGTAGAGTGGTCATCTGCTCTCCAGCTAACACATACACAACAATGATATTCCACACCGCATATCCTGCCAGAAACCCATGAGAGAACAGTCCAATGATCCTACACAGAAAGCAACAGCAATTTTAGCAGTTGAGTTCAACACATAACAAGTCAACAAGCTCCAAAAAGAAAACCACATGAAAAGGTCACGGTCTTGATGAGTACTAGACAAACTCATGAAGCCCGTTGATAAGAGCTGTTAGATCATCTCCCAACCAAACCCACCTGAAGCCGCTGTGGACCCTCATGGCGACATCTCGTGTATTCCACATGGGCCTGACTTCCATGTACTCCTCCATATGGTCACGGGATAAATCCAAACGATCAGTCGCCTGGAAGCGGCCTGGGTCAGAGGTCACAGTTTATCCTATTTTAGTGGCTACATTTATATATAATATACTTGTCATAATACTGCATATATACATATATATATATATATATATATATATATATATATACACACACTGTATATATGTCTTTGACATAAATCAGATCTATAAATATAGGATCAGCAATAATACAGAATATGAGATTTTTTTAGACATTAAGGGTTTAATAACTAATACATTGGCAACAATTATAGGGACCAATTCTCACTGTTAAATAGTTGCTTATTAACATGCCTATTATTAACAAATTGGCTGTTTATTAGTACTTATAAATAACATATTCTGCATGACCATATTCTACCTCTCTAATCCTATCCAATACCTAAACTTAACTACCTTACTAACCATTAATAAGCAGCAAATTTGTTTATTGAAACAAAAGTTGTAGTTAATGGTTTGTTAATAGCGAGAATTGGACCTTAAAATAAAGTGTGACCAATATATCATTGTTAGCATACAGTATATTTATGTATAATGATAGTATCATTACATGTATGTATCTAAAATGAAACTCACGGTTCTTTTCTACAAACACTTTTCCGATCGGATGACTGTGACCCAGAGGGGCTGAGAATAGAGAGCGCTGAGATATGGGTGCGTGCACATCGGTGATGATGTCCTCCTCCTCCACGCCGAGCTCATCATGAGACTGGTTTTCCATCATCTTAGCCTTCCTTCAAAAAGAAGTGGACATTATTCTCAGTAGAGAATAATACAATCACAACGTCTATGAAACTACTGTATTTAGAAGTATTTACTTCTTTTCAAAGTTTTTGCTTCTCACCTTTTTCTCTTGCTTTTTCTGGTGACTTCTTCATCATCTGTATGAGGCTCTTGAACATCTCCATTTGGAAGGTCTTGCTGTTCACTCTCATCTTATAAAACAATGAAATCAAGAACAATTGATCTAAAAAAAAAGAAAATAACATCCATAAATTAAATGTGAATATCATTAACAAAAATTATTTACCAAAAGTATGTGCCTTCTTTTTCTTCTTCTTCTTCTGTGGTGGATTGTCCTGAGGCTCAGGGGTCAGTGGCTCTCTGCGGCTCTCCAGACCCTCCATTTCTATAGCTGGCTCGGGCCCTGCTGTTGTTTATTGGGGATTATACAAATATAAAGGAGACAAATGCTGCAAGATTCTACATTTATTATCCTTGAAAGAAAAGAAGCAACTACAAAATATGTGCAGTAAACAGTAAGCCAGTTTTGTGTGGGTATTTGAACTATTCCACTGGCTACCTGCAGAGGTAGCTGTTACACCAATGGACTACACTTAATTGCCTTCACAAGAATGTATTTGTCCAGCAGCAAACACATAAAAATGTACAGTACATGATACAATATCACTCATGTTTGATAGATAATCTAGATTTTAAAAAAGTGATCTTGTTAAGATCAAATAAGGCATTTATAAGTGTAATTACCTTGTGGTTCCTCAACTTCATTAATGTCCTTCTTGATTTTCTTTTTCTTGGGTTTGACACTTGGCATTTTGTCTATAAAAGGTAGAAATAGGACAGTCAGCTTTGTCTACAGTTTACACTAGTCCTTTATAGTAATTAGATTAGAAATCCAAGTACAATAGAAACTATTACAGGCTTTGGGGTTAATAAGGCTAAGCCAAATAATATAATTGATTTTATTAAAACTTCCTGTTCACATGTTCAGATGTTCAACAAGGATAACTGACCGCTGGTGTCTTGATGTCACACACCCGAAAATCAGGACTGAATGGAAACAAAACAAAGAAAATGAGACCCACTTCTTACAACCAGGGATTGAAATGAACGTTTTCACTCACCAGCCAATTTGGCTACTAAATTTTTAAGTTACTGGCCATTCATAACTTCTACTAGCCCAAAAAAATTCATCTTTGCAGAAGTTGCTTATGAAGTGGCATTTAGATGTATTTATGTTAATGCAGCTTAGAGGGACATGGAATGATTTAAACTGCAGTTACAAATGCATAAATAATGTTTTGATATTTTAAACATGAAATGTTGAATAGTGATATTTGAAATTATTAAAAAAATGAAAAGATACTTTAAATGTGAAATTAAAACCACCAGTAGGTGGCAGCAAGTCACTGTTAAGTGAGTCATTGCGATTGAACCTTCAGAGGGAGATCTTCCCACCTGATGAGAAAATGCATGTAAGTATTTTCTCTTTAATTTGATGCACTCTTGTAATCAAACTGCTTTTACTTGGGTGGTTGCAGTGGTTAGGTTAGGTTAAACCAGGGGTGTCCAAACTCGGTCCTGGAGGGACGGTGTCCTGAAGAGTTTAGCTCCAACCCCAATTAAACACACCTGAACCAGCTAATCAAGCTCTTACTAGGCATACTAGAAACCTAAAGGCAGGTGTGTTGAGGCAAGTTGGAGCTAAACTCTGCAGGACACCGGCCCTCCAGGACCGAGTTTGGGCACCCCTGGTCTAACCAGACTTCATCACGTCGAGAATGCGTGCCTCTCTGTAGGTGTGTTTTGTTTGGTTTTTGCAATATACTCGATAATGTCATGATGTCTCACGAGTTCAGTATTTGTGCTAAACCTGCGCAGATTTGGCTTGCATGAACTTCCCCAAAAAATTTATGAGTGAACTTAACATACGAAAAGTAACCCGCCAAATTGGCTAGTGATTTGACAGCGTTACCCGCCACAGCTGATTTTTACCTGTCCCACTTTTGCGGTGTTGGCGGGTGTTAATTTCAAACCCTGCTTACAACTGAAGTCAATATGTAGAGTGTTTGTGTGAGCATACAGTGAGCATGTAGCTTTAAATTAGCCTCTTGCTAGATATAGCACTTTACTGAGAGAAGATTTTGAGGGCACTTAGGTAAACAACACTGATTGAACTGCTTCTTTCTGCTTGACTTAAATGCTCACTTTTAACCACTTAGCAAGTCAATGACAGTAAGCAAAATCACAATCAAAAACATCCAACTATTGCAAATAGAAATTCATAATTAAGCAATTAATAATACATAAAATGATAGAAAAAATAACAGATCTTTCTCTCAAATATCTATCTGGTTAGATCTAGATATTTTAGAAGATTGAGAGATAGAGGTATTTTTTTAGATTTGATATTTTTAGATAGATAGATAGATAGATAGATAGATAATATTACAGTATGTCACCAAAACGTGTTTGAGTAGCTACAGTATCCTGACCATGCAAGTTTAAGAGGTGATTTAAATCAGTTGTGATCCATGTCTGGTTATACCAGATTATAAACAGGTCACATGGTCACACAGTAATGTATGTAAACACATATGACACTACATACACAAGACAAGAGCCCAGCTGATAAATAGCGAAGATATTATGTTAAGGAGGTGAATAGTAAGTGTGAATTTACTATTTGTGAACTTCAGTGAAAGTCTATCACGTGCATGTCAACAGACTAGTCAACTAACCCTGACAGCTTTATATTGCCATTCAGATCATAAAGAAATATAAATATAGGTTACAACTAAATCCTACACAGCTCGCTCTAATAATCAAAACAAAAATACATGGGTTTTACACATTATGGGCTAAGGCTCAATACGCACACGAAATCCAGTGCTCTTTGTCTTTATCTTGACCACATTATCAGTCAAAGCCATAGACAGTGGTCAAAGCTCACGCTGCTTATTTTAAATGACTGATGCTAAGGATCTGCTATAATACTGTGTGGCATAATTTACCGTTTGTTTTCTTCCCATTCTTGTCTGGCTGGAGTCGTGGCGCAGGAGCTGTTGGTGTGAGATGAGGAGAGTCTTGGCTGTGCCGTCAGGCTGTCTAATCCTGGGCTTAATCCTCACAGACGTGCATCTGCCAAGGAGGGAATTAGTGTGGCATAGATCGGTGAGTGAGGAGGACAGCCTGAGAGAACCACACATAAACACCATGACAAAACCCCTTATCTACACACCATTAACTACAGCTATTACATCATAGGCCTACACATTTATACGTTTAATTCATTTTTTTTTTCAATAAAAAGCACATACACAAAGTGAAAAGAATAAGTACACTCAGTGTTACATTTCAAAACATGTTTAGATTTATTTTGAAAAGGGATTCATTTTCTCTCTCTCTCTCTCTCTCTCCCTCTAGATAGATAGATAGATAGACAGACAGACACTGGTATATGCCAACATAATATGTGAACCAATACAATATGATATGACAATATATAAAATGCTTAATGAATGATAGAAAGGGCAGATTCAAAAATGTCTTTGAGATGTGTTAAGATGTCTTTGGTATTTTTTTAATGCAATTTTTTTTTTTTTAAATCTTTCCCTCCATCCTATAGTTTTGAAGATTAAAAACAGATTTAAACTCAAGCCTTCCAAACAAGTTTGGAAAGATAACCATTAGCACTTTGCCAAAATTATTCAACCCCTTGACCTGCAAGACATTCTGCTGCCTATTCTGCAAACAATATAAGAAAACAATTCAACCAAAGCATCTGAAATTATAGAACATTTAATGCACATTTGGCTCAAAATTAATGTACAAAATTATTCAACCCCCAAAAGACAAATTTTGCAGAGAATCTTTTCTTCTTTATAACATATAATAAATGTTGCCTCTACGTGCTCACAAGCCTCCGACACCTCTCCTCTTAAATCTTAGCCCAGAAGTTTTGGATGTATACTATTGGATAATTGCCCTGCAGTCCAATGATCATCAGTTTCAGTCTCTGTATTGAAGGCATCACAATCTTTGCCAAAATAGCCTGATACTTCAAAGAATCCATAATGTCCTTCATACAGGATTGCTCCACCACGTTTGACTATGGAAATGGTCTTCTGCTGCTCATAAGCTTTGCCTTTTTTTGCACCAGACATGGGTCCATGGGTCCAAAAAGTTAAGTTTGGTCACATTACTCTATAAAACATTTTTTCCTGAACTCCACAAATTAATTTTAGCATATTCAAGTCAGCCTTTTATATTATTTGTGAAGAGTGGCATTCGGTAAGGTGTCCTGACATGAAGGCCATGTTTGTATAGTGTTCTTCCGATACGCTCCATTGAAATGTTTCTTCATCCTTTCATCGGGTCATCTTGCAAGTAAATCTTGCTCTGATCAGACATTGTATTCCCCTTGATGATGTTGTGCTTTCTCTTTAATGCCATCAGTTTTTCTGGTACAACACCTTTTAAACTTATGAGTAATGCTGACATTTGTGTCTCTAGGAACTTTTAGACTGATGATACACGGAGCAATGCTGCCGTCAACAGGCAACCAGGTGAGACACAGGGCTCACGACCAATCTAAAGTATCCAGATAGAAATTTGTTACCCATTCTCAATGGGAAAGTGCCCAAGCAATGTTGCTTAAAAAAAGCTGCCCGGCAAAATTGCTTAAAAATTTGCCGTGTATCATCAGCCTTAGTGACTTGAAAATCGTCTTACAGCCTTTTGTAATGATATTTCTTCTCTATAGCTTTTGCGAGAGCTCTTTTGACTTGGCCATATTTGCAACTCAACTTTAGCACATGCATGGGCTAAATTCATATAGAACTCAAAAATATTACAATATACTGTATATTGACATCTTACACGTGTAATATGCCACATTTACATTTCATTTAGCAGACACAAAAATAGCTTCTACACTAGTGTAAACATAGTTGAAATCACCAGAAATAAACCTATAGATCTCATAAGACATTAGTGAAGACCCTCGAGGCCTAAATATGTGTTTACAGTATATGTACTGTATGTAAAATGATAATCCAGACAATTGCTGATGACAAAGTAATTGCACCAATAAGATTTTACTCAGGGGTACACATGAAAGTTCATTTTTCCTAAACTACAAACAAAGGCATTTGTTTTTTCAAAATTCAGTTCTTTTACATTAATTACAACCATTCAAAAATTCCCTTGTTTGTTCTTATGCATGTCTCTGCATCATGGATGATCAGGAGCAAACCAGCTGGCAGGAATCCACTGTGGTTCTTCTTGAGCATGTTGTATAGCCGTGAACAGATCCATGCATGAATCTTGCAGATCATCGTTCACAATCACACAGTCAAAGTACTGACGATACTTGGCCTCCATAGTCCTGCTTGCTTCCTCAATCTCCTCAAAGTCTTTGTCCTGAGAAAACCAGTGGGACAGTGTTACATGTCATAACCAGAATTCATGAACACACTCTTTACTTATGTTCATAGCAGCTAATCAACCTGTTATCAGAAAAAAATGTACTGCAAGAAATATCAAATGCATATCTTACATAAAAGTATCTCTTGATGTATCTATTGGAAAGAAAATGTGGGTCTTTTCTTGTTTGCTTCATGCGGGCAGGAGACGGAGGCCGTACATATATGATGTAGGGCTTCAGCTTCTTGGTTCTGACTGAATGAATGCACTGGAATAAACAGATATGTGCATGTGCATCACTGTTTGCAACCAAACTAATGATAAAAACATAAGTGTGGTTTTGATAAACATAAATAACACCTACATGAGGTTCAAGGTCAATAACACATATTTTTCCATTGTCCAAAACATCTTGGACCGAGTCTAAGCTGGTGCCGTACATGTGTCCATTATGCTGTCCATACTCAAGAAATCTGGACATTGTTAAAAACACAAAAAACACCCCAGAGTAAGCCGAATCACAAGAACAGATTGCCAACTATATATATATTTTTTAAGTATTTAAACATAAGCAATAAGATTACTTGTGATTAACCACCATGTACGCGAACACTTCCTTGGTCACAAAGTGATATTCACGGCCATTCTTCTCACCCATTTTCTGGGACCGTGTTGTGTCTTGAACAAAACAAGAGACAACTTATAACATCAGACCGTTTTGTTAAATAATGTAAGATGCTGTAAGCAATTTCAGACATTTTGTTAACTTCAAACACACAGCCTTTCTTTAAAATCCAGCCCTCCAAAATCTGAGGGTAGTCAGGACATTTTTTCATATTTCAAAAAACTAGCTTACAGAACCTTTAAGTCAGAGGTTAAAGGGATCAAATGGACCACATACGAGATATTGGTCCCTGGTACGTATTAGGGTTGATTTTGATTAGCCTCCTGCGTAGTTCATTTACACCAACTCCTGATGGAGCTGTGAAAAACATGGAAAAGCGTGAAGCCTTTAATAGGACAAATTTAAAACAGCCAATAAGACAAATGATAGTTATTGTTCGTTCATGTATGGATAAAATTATCCTGCACAAAGAGGACCATACCAATGAGCACAATGAGACAGGGGGGATCGTCTATGTGGCGCTGGTAGTGGACCACCTCTTCATAAACGGTGGCTGAGGTGTTATGGCAGCTGCTGACACCACAGGAATAACATGACGGCTTTCGCTTTCTGTATGATTTCCTTCTCCATACACGCAGACTGTGTCGGAACCCCGCTGATTCAAACAATTAAACAATTAACTTTTCATTTAGGTGTTCATATGAGCCAAAATTTACATTTGTAATTCAGATTTCATACCTATATATAATCCCTGCATATGTTCACCATTCTCACCCTCCTCTGACACTGGGCAAAACAAAGATTTGATCAATTAAAGATCATTGACAAATGTTTTAATAACAAATCAGCGAATCTACATAAAATCTAATATTTACATAAAATCTAAATTATTCTCTCATTCCATAAAATGTTAAACTTACCTACCGAACTCAAAATCTTCTTCGTCTGTAAGAACAAAAAAATTAATTCAACACTGTTAAATTCAGACAACCCATACTATTACTAAGGAAGCCTGTTTCCACCGTTTCCACTATTTTTACAATTTGTTACAATTTTGATTTGACATCTCACAATTCTTACTTGATTTTTTCTGAGTTTATATCTTGCAATTAAGAGTTTCTTTCTCAGAATTGTGAAATTGCTAAATATAAACTCAGAGAAGTCACAATTGTGAGATGAGAAGTTGCTATTTTTTATTCCGTGCAGAAACAAGCTTTCATATATTACCACAAAGAAGTCAAATAAATTAAGATATGGATTCAGGGGGATAATCACCTGTTTCAATGCATTTGTTCTCATCTGTTGTCTCCTCTTCTCCTTCAGAACAAAGAGAGTCACACTCAACACACTACACAACTAATACAAATGTTTTATACATGTTCTTAACGAATGAAATCAACATGAAATCAAAATCGTCTCTATTTAGTTCATACACACCCATTTCTCACAATTCAATTCAAGCCAATTCCTTATAGATAAAAACAAGTTTCATATATTTTTTTCTTGTTGATAATTCATTTAACAGAAACAAATCACATGAAACACTGAACAGTTCTCAATAGTGAAGATTTTATGAAAGCAATACCTGTGACGTGCCATATTTCAAAGAGCATACAATATATTATTTGAATGTACAGTTTAAAAACTAAACACTTTAGTCATAAATTTAAACATACTAAGCTAACACTAAAAATATGGGGAAAGACAAAAAAGATACATACCAACATCTGTTGCACTCACTTTACATACCAAAGCAAAGAAAATGACAAAGAATTAGACTAGTAATAAATAAAGATATTATATATTAATAATATTAATGCAACATTGTGGGTAATCAAGACTGCAATTAGCAAATCATAAGCAGCATTCTTTGTACAACTTAATACATATGTAAAGATGAATTTTTCAATAAAGATAACTCTCTCTGACCTTGAGATAATATAAATGAGCTGTTTCTGCTACTGTGATTAAAAAATCGGTTTAAAACATAATTTGTCATGAGCTACAGGATTGTGGTCATTAAGTCTTATATAGTTTTAACTTCTCCATCCTTCAACAACAGCCTCTATGCAAAGCCTGCAGTACACTGAGCAATCCGTCC